ACATCAACCTGCGCCCTTGACACTCTTCCCACATCTTTCTTCAAAAGTGTGTTAAACAGCTTAGAAGCAGATCTCCTAGAAGTGGTAAAGGCCTCACTTCTCTCTGGTAGTTTTCCAAACTCCCTGAAAACTGCAGTTGTCAAGCCCCTCCTGAAAAAGAGCAATCTGGATAAGACCATCTTGAGCAACTATAGACCGATCTCAAATCTTCCTTTCATAGGCAAGATCATTGAAAAAGTTGTCTTCAAATCCAGAGTCAAAACACTTCTGTTTAGCTATGCATTTACTGAATGAGCACTGGCCACTGTTCGTCCAACTGTTTTTACTGTACTTTACTTTATTTTATTTTTTATTCTAAACTGTTTTAATTATTCTTATTTGTTTTGATTATTTTAATTTTTTCTATGTAAAGCACTTTGAATTACCAGTGTGTATGAAATGTGCTATATAAATAAACTGGCCTTGCCTTGCCGTCACACGAAGGCAGATCCACAGCTGACCTGAGACCAGCGTTTATGAAGCGCTCAGTGTCAGTGCTGAAGGTCCAGCTCGTGCCCTCGTCCCCTGTGTAGTGCCCTAGAGTGTGTTATCAGCACTGTGTGATGAGAGATACACCGGGGAGAGCCTTATCAGCGCAGTGTGTGTGTGCCTTCATGACCTTCATGCCGTTCCTCTGACAGGAAGTGATGCGTGTGCGGGAGCTCGGGGTTTATAGTGAAGAGGAAGCCGAGTGAATTACTGACGGCAAAACTTTGAGATTTTCTATTTTACTTTTGGTTCTCTTTTTTGTGTCGTTTTTAAAGATGTGCACAGCTTTTAAAGAATGATACAAACCCAGTCCTTATATTACAAGCCCATCGATCTAAGTCAAGTCAGCTCTATTTCTATAGCGCTATATACAATAGAAATGGTTTCAAAGGAGCTTCACAGTAATAAACATGAAAATAACAGAATCAATGATGCAAACGTCATCAATTATGAGACAAGTTGAAATGATGTAGTTCTTGTTTTAATGTCATTTTCGTAATGTTACTGGGATACAGACTATTAGGGCTGGGTAATATAGCCAATAACATTCACAATAACATTTTTCAAATCAGTTGATCTCGATAATTATCACGATAAATGTCAAATCTTTATTTCTTTCCAGTTTAAAGGCAGATTTCTGCTCCTAAGTGAAAGTTCAAACTGTTAATTGTGCTTTTAAACTACAGTTTACGGTCAGAACATGACAAACACTTTTTGAATTCTTTACACTTTTCTAGTCATTTTCTTGAACAAAATAAATATGTATTTCTTAGTTTCTGCATGTTCTAAAGGGGTGATATTGTGTCAAATCATGAAACAGGTGTGTGTCGCCTTGAACCGTATCTTCAGCACAGTTTGCAGTGCAGGCCGACATATTCATAATTATATGACGTTTTGTCTCAGAAATGCTCACTTGACAGTAGCTTGAGTTAAGATCTGTACTAATTTTTATATGGTCAAATTGAAATATTCTGACTTTTTGAGGTTCATTTGTCTTGATAACAACAACTCTTGTTATCATTTTATTTATGAAAATTATATCGCGATAATTATCGTTGTTGTTTTATCGCCCAGACCGCGTGACAACTAGCCCCATCTCTCTATGTCTCAGTATTAGCTTGGCCATGTGAATAACCTGTGGATGGCTGAGTGACGTGTAGATGGAGGACACATTCAGGTTCGTTCTCAGCACAGGACGAGTCAGAGAGAGTTTATTCAGAGGAGAACAGGAACACTCTCTCACAAGGCTCGTTCTCCTTCTGTAAGTGACTGACAGCTGTCCGTATCTGTGAGGAAGTCTCTCTCTCGCAGTCCAGCGTTTCACAGTAACACATGCTTTTAGCCTTAAAACAGAGGGATCCCATGAGAGTGTGTGTGAATGACCCCTGACGGATCGCTGCGACCTGAAGATCAGTGATGGGAAACGAGCCCAGTATTGACAGTGTAACAGCTTTGGTTTATTCGATGATGATGATGTCTTTGAATCATCCTTATTTGAGGGTTTTTCTTTATCTGTGATTTAATTATGACTTGATTAATTCATTTGCACATGTCATCCAGTTGATGAGTGTGTACTCCTCCTATGATGGGTAGAGGTGTGTTCGCATGAATCACATTCCCTCGCTCCTCATCTCAACACTTCTTCATCTCTCTCTATCTCTCTCATCCGACCAGTGAATCTCAGCGGGATCAGACTCTGATAAGGGCCAGATTTGAGGCTCTTGGTGTGCGAGAGGCAAAACTTTAGTGAAGTTGGTAATACAGAGTAATTTACTGCAGACGGTTTGCTTTGAATTGCCCTTCTTTCCCTTTCACAGACTCCGATGGAAACTAGAGAAAAGTGTGTGCTTTAAAATCAGAACAGGAGATTTGATGATCGGCGTGAGTCGGGCTCACTTTGCATCTTATTCTTGTCCAGAACAATTTCTGGAAGACGCTGTTTCTGTCTGTGTTTGAGTGGACGGCAACAGTTGACTTTGTTTTCTCATGATGTACAGAAGCATTTTACCTGAAATCCTTGATTAGACTTTAAAAATCCGAATCGGATGAAGCTCATAAACTGTCAGATCCAGTGACTAGTCCGAACAGACTGGCAATGACATGAAGCCACCAGTCAGACTGAGTTCTGCTCCAGTGTTCACATCTCTGGGGAGTTCGTCAGTGTAAATGAATGTCAGTTTTAAGTATGTGAACCGCGTCAGATGGCCTGTTCAAGATGCTTTTAATGAGCTGGTGTTTAAAAGAAGCTAATGAATGACATCACAGCTGTTTCTCATGTGGCTTTAGTGACGGACACAGCGGAGAACCACTGACAAACGCCACGGTTATGATACATAACACCTGTTTATATGATAGATGCACAAATTCAGATCTCTCTCTTACTTATCTCAATTTTATGCTATATTTTTGGCTTGACAAATATTTTTACATTCTTATTACCAAAGCATCTTAACAGCGTAAAACAACATGACAATATAACCCGTCTGAACCCCAAAAATCTCAGCTCTGTCAACAGAAGTCTGTTTCCCTTGTGTGGTTTTCAGTGCAAGGGTCAGAGGTCAGCACAACACTGTGTCCTGGTGTTATAATCAGTGCAGATGAACCTGACGCTCCAGAGTTCAGAAACCTCCACACCAGAACCAGAACATGACCTGATAGATCATGTTTAAGTTTCACACACGCACACAAACTTCCCCAAACATTCACACTCATCCTATTCAACAATCGCTGCCTGTCTCACACACTCTCGGCAGTGTGACCCGCGGGGCACGTGGTTGAGTTGAGTAAGTGCTTTGCCATTTCTGAAGTGGACATTATATATTCATATGCATGAAGAGACTCATTATCATCATCTGACAATCACTGACCCTTTAATAAATGGCTCGGCGTTCAACATGGCTGGATTTATTCAGTGCGGTAGCTCAATATTAACATAGCCTTTTGCAGCAGTTTTAATGAATGTTTAGCCTATATTAGACATGAAAACATTTGAGATGAAATTCGTGTAAAACTATGCAGGTGCGTCTCAATTACCTTTCCATGCAGTTTTGCAAGTACAAATAGTGGAATTAGTGGAAATTCCAAAAAGAAAAAGTGCACTTTAAATAACTGGATGATGCATTAACGGTAAAGTGAAGTGTGGAATGTTGGACACTTCATGCGATCCCAACTTTAAGAGGGGGAGGGGCTTTAAGACTGATGTTGGATGACAAAATAACCTTATAAAACTCATACACTACACCGTTGAGTACACAGTGCGTAATATGGTCCAAATTCTCTTCCTGTCAATCAGTTTGTGCACATCAGGTTGGCTGAAACGGGGAATGAATGGGAGTGATCCAATTCAGTGGCAATGTACATGTTTATGCTTATTTGTGTTGCAGTTGCTGTTATCCAGAGGGATTTACAAGTGAGGAGACTCACGAGCAGTGAAAGGAATAGTTCCCCCAAATAAGGGCTGATAGGCGACGAGTGTTTAATTGTGAGCGCTTCATGCGGGCAGTTAAATTCTCTCTTCAGAAATAATGGGCAGGTCTTCGTGAAGGCCGGCGGGTCAAGAGCAGCAATCAGGCTCTCCAGACAGCGACTCCATTTTGTTTCTGATGAGATTAGAGCAGCGCTGTAATATAAACATCAGCGTTCAGCACAGATCTTCATTAAGATACATCAGCGTAACGAGAGATGATAGAGTGTCTGGAACCGAGAATGAATTCGTCTCACCCAACATGTCTGGCTGAGCGATTGGCCAGTTTTCTTGAAACATGACTGCCATTTTCACAGTTTTCAGTCAGAGCGTTGTGTTCGCTGGTCTCTAAAGGCTGGGTAAAACTGGCTCAACTAATGGCAACATTTGTGTGATTAAACATGTCGCATTTCTGCACTGCACACAAACCCCTGATCAGATCTGAAACACCACAGGCGGGTGTGAAGGGTTTCTCAAACCTCGGATATCAGTGTCTGCTCAGATGAAGGACCGTCCCAGCAGGGTGATCTCAAACCCATGACCCTGTCTGCTTGTGTTTAGGAAGGCTGTGTTTGCTGCTGAGCTAATCAAATGTTCCCTTTTGTCTTGTAGGCCTGGAGAATGCTGGAATCTGGAGGGCAGTAGATCGTTCCTGCCGTTTGGAAGAACATGAATCACAGATAAAGACTCGACCATGACCATCACCCAGGGTCCACTGGACACCAGATCTCTGCTTTGAAATCTTTTCTTGGATTGAAAGCGTTTCAGAGAAAACCTAAATTGGGAGCCATTTATCGCTCATCCACCTCCAGCCTGATGCACCGACCAATGGAGAGACTACGGATAGAGTCTGGATAAAGAGGAGCAGGGCAAGAAAGAGAGTGAACAGTTGGCCTGTGGGATCCTGCAGCGTTGGGAATTGAGCCGTCTGTTCGCCATCTCTCAGAGTCACGAGGAGCTCTGCTGTCTCAGAGGAGGAGGAGGTTTCTGAGCTCGTATCATCGGCACGGGTGAAATGAAGTCTCGGTGTTGGTCCACTCTCCGGCCCCTGTGGCCGTTGCTGTTAGCTGGACTCTTTCTGTCGGCAGGGGCCCTGGAGTTCGGCGGCGCTCCCGGCCAGTGGGCGCGTTACTCCCGTTGGGAAGCAGGATCGATCGGGGAGCTCAGCTTCAGCCTGAAGACCAATGTGAGCAAGGCTCTGGTTCTGTACTTGGACGACGGTGGGAACTGTGACTTCTTGGAGCTGCTCATCGGCGAAGGACACCTTCAGCTCCGATTCGCCATCCACTGCGCCGAACCGGCCAGCCTGCAGATGGAGACCCGCGTCAACGACGACCGCTGGCACATGGTCCTGCTCACCCGAAACTACCGCGAGACCATGCTGATGGTGGACGGGGAAACCAAAGTGGCTGAAGTCCGTTCCAAGCGCAAAGAAATGGCCGTCGTCAGCGACCTCTTCGTAGGGGGGATTCCCCCGGACGTACGGCTGTCCGCGCTCACGTCCAGCACGGTGAAATACGAGCCTCCCTTCATGGGCCTGATCTCCAACCTGAAGGTGGGCGAGATGCCTCCCTCTCTTCTCAACAGCAACGGCATTCACAACGATCTGGAGTATCTGTGCACCAAGCAGAACCCCTGCCTCAATGGAGGATACTGCACCGTCCAGTTCGGGGAGGTCCACTGCGACTGCTCTCACACACGCTTCCGGGGGAAATACTGCAAAGAAGGTAAGCCTCGGTTCATAGACTCACATTAAGCCTGTGTGTTTTGACGTGCTTCATTCTTCTGTTCATGGCATTGATCTGACGCGTTCAGACTGTTGTAATAGCTGTGCTGACAGAACCCTTTTTGAAAGAGCGGCTGAAGAGTTTCTCTTTCTCGCAGTTGCTGTTCTGAATGGACACTTCTGGTCATTTTGTGTTCAGCCCTTTAGAGGGTTCAGGTTGTTCTAAGTTAGATGAATCACTGCTTCTTATATTTTATTCTCTTCTAAAGCGAGTTTCGTTCAATTCTCTCCCAATCGCTCGCCGTCTTCAGTTCCAGAAAGCAATCCCAATTTCTTAGGCGAGATCCATTTTGTACTCGTCTACACTCATCTGTTACTCTCTCCTCCAGACCCACTGCTTTTACTCTCCTCTCTTGTCTTCTGTTTCTCTTTATCCTATCTGTTCTTCACCTATTATCTCAGCCAGTTCTTTTTTCATTTTCACTCTCTTTCTGTCTTTCGCTGGTTGGCTTTCTGAATCATGCCACCTTTACTGTTTTAGTGGATGGATTTTCTCCATTTAAGACCAAAAGCATCATCAATACTGTAGTGAGCACAACATGCTAATCAAATATACATTTATATTTACGTATAGAAGGTATTATGTCAGGGTTTTAGTTTATATATAAGATTTTGAAAGATGTTTATCATTTGAGAAAAAAATGCGGTTTTATTTGTGTTTAGTCGTGCCCTGATGAAGCTCTTTCACAGATATTCCCTCTATTCCACAGACACAATAACAACTGATCTGACACACACGATTCTGTCAAAGTCTTCATCCTTTTGCTTCTTCTGGTGGTGTGTATATTCCTGTTTCTATGTTTTATGATAGGTTTTCACAAGTCTCTGTTTGTCCCGAGCAGTTACCACATAATAAATCATTTAAATCATAATTCCCAGGTTTTCCAGAATCTCCTGCGTATTGAAACCTTTCCAGCAGTGACTGCATGCACTCATACACAACTATTACAAAAGCTGCATACATTCACCGGTGCTCTAGGAGAAAAATGATTTTGTCTTGTGGGAAATATGCTTGTAAATAGCTCATGTAGTTTCTAAAGGGCAGTACTTAAAAAGAATCTTATGTCTTACTTAGGAGACAAAAAGCTTATGCAATCTTATGCACGCAACTATATATAACTAAGTAATGTTGTATGTATATGTACAGACCCTTTGCAGGGGACACCCGTGTTGGTCAAGTCTTTAATGGATCTCATATGAGACAGAACTGAGATTAGGCATTTGTTTTTCAGTATTCTCTCTCTCTCCTGTGTTGGGATGTGAGTCGGAGGTCGTAGAGAGTTTGATACCGTTCGGCTCCGGGCGAAACAGAGCAGAATACCAATGCAGCACCGCAGGAAGCATTTGTCCTTTTGGATATTGAGAAGCGCTTTCCTTCCCTCTGTGTCGATGTGTTTGAGAAAATGTAAAGCGGCTTGTGGGAGAAGCCGAGTTATTCGGGCGAATAACACAGCGGGAACCATCTCAGTAAAGGGCTCGCAGTCGCTGTGTGAGAGGTTGATTTCTCTGGGAAATCTTCAGCGAAGGACTCGACAGTTCTAGTGTTTCCCTCTCCGCGTTAGATGAGCTACTGAGACAAGCTAGAGGTCCATGTTTCTGATGAGAACAAATAGCATTATAGAGAATCATTGAGTGTATTTCCACATTTAATAGTTCTTCTGAAGAGTGTCATTCCGTCACGTGTTGTGTTAGATGCTGACCCAGTGGTGTGTGTTAGTGACCT